AGGCTATCAGATATTTACACCTGTGAGGTGTAATACGGCATTGGACACTTTCCTGCCCATCGCTTCTGGACTCTGAAGATAAAACTGACCGAAAGAACTTTTAAGTTCCTGCTCCTTGAGACTCTCACAGAGAGCCCAAGGAGTAAATCAGATAAAGTGTCCCCCCACACACACATAGTCTGTAGGGAGTACCTTCCCAGACTTCCAATATAGGCCTGAAATCTCAGTGCCAGACTCCAGAAATATGTCATTTTCCTAGACACAGATGCCTCTGATAAAGTTTAGTTTATAAACTAAGTACATTAAAAGATCAACAAGGGGGCTGGAGAGATGGCTCAGTGGTTAAGAGCATTGCCTGCTCTTCCAAAGGTCCTGAGTTCAATTCCCAGCAACCACATGGTGGCTCACAACCATCTGTAAAGAGGTCTGGCACCCTCTTCTGGCTGTCAGGCATACACACAGACAGAATATTGTAAACATAATAAATAAATAAATAAATAAATAAATATTTAANAAAAAAAAAAAAAAAAAAAAAAGATCAACAATATGAACTACTAATAAAATTCAACAGTCTCCAAAATATACTGTAATAAACTATGTGAATACATTCTTTCTCTTATTTCTGGCATTTTCTTCCAAATAGAATTTTTGGGCCACTGACAAACTGCCAATATAGGTGGAAATGTTTTTGAAACTTTCTGCTTCATGGAAAAGTCTGCTGGATACTATGGGCCTGTAGGCTGGAGATGAATGCCCCAATGTTACAGAAGAACTTTGGGTGACTGTTCATGTAGTGAGATGTCTCTGTCAATTCTAGAGTTTTGGAAGTTGCTTACAATGTTCTTCCTGTTTACTTAGGTAATATTATATCCTTTTGGAGTCTTTGATAGAGTTGAAGAATAGATAGTTATAATTATAGTTTTCCTTAGTTATGATAAAAGATAAAGTAGATATAAATATTGTAACTATAATTTTTGATTGATAACTTGTAGAGGGCCAGTTTTGAACTTCATAGAAACTCTGTGCAAGGGAGACTTGAGGAAGCATTCTTGCTGATAGGCTTAACAAACCAAATTGGGAGGAGGCAAACCTCTCCCATCAGTAGAGTGACTTGCCAATGGTCTTGACAACACAGATGTGCACTGTAGTTCAAAGCTCTGATTAGGATGTGGTTTGTCTTCTGATGAGGTGTTTTTACATATTATATTACAGCAAGAGTTATTCCCATAACACTGATCTTTTTGTTTAGATTAGCTAGGGCACAAAGTTCTTGAAGTCAGTTGCAACCAAGTGACTAGTCTATGAAACCATTTTCATGTATTATGGGAACCTAGTTTGAATCATGATTTGAGTATTATAAAAAGAACACTGGCTTTGAAATAAAGTATGCAGTTGTATCTCCTACTCTGCAGCCCCTGTGTCCTGATTTCTGTGGCACTAGCCAGGGTCATCCATAACCGAGGAGGTTGAGGAAGGGTCCCCAGCAATAACTGTTTTGTTATATGTAATTTTTCTGTGTTAAAGTTAAAACCTTCCTTTTTATTTAAACAGAAAAGGGGAAATGATGTGGGAAGTCCTTTGTATATGTGTTGCTTTTATTGGTTAATGAATAAAGAAACTGCCTTGGCCTGTTGATAGGGCAGAACTTAGCTAGACGGGGAAAACTAAACTGAATGCTGGAAGAAAGAAAGTGGAGTCAAGGAGAAGCCATATAGCCCCTCTGGAGACAGATGCTGGAACTTTACCCGGTAAGCCTCAGCCACATGGTGATACACAGATTAATGGAGATGAGCTAGTTTAGGATATATGTGGCATGGTCGGCAGGATTTGCTGAAGGAGGCAGAGGCAGCTGTGGATCTTGCCTGGCTCTGGAATGGGTAACTCACACGAGGTGAAGGCACAGAAATGAGAAATCTCTTTCTCCTGGGAGGTGGTGGTGCACGCCTTTAATCCCAGCTCTCAGGAAGCAGAGGCAGGTGGATTTCTGTGAGTTCAAGGCCAGCCCGGTCTAACAAGAGCTAATTCTAGGACAGACCTCAAAGCTACAGAGAGACCCTGTCTTAAAAAAAAAAAAAAAAAAAAAGAATCCTCCTTCTGATGGCTAGCTCTTAAATCCTAAACTAGCTCATATCACCACACAGCTGTGGCTTACCAGGTAAAGTTCTGGCATCTGTCTCTGGAGGGGCTACATGGCTTCTACTTGACTCCACCTTCTTTTTCCCAGCATTCAGTTTAATTTTTCCCGCCTAGCTAAGTTCTGCCCTATCAGCAGGCCAAGGCAGTTTCTTTATTCATTAACCAATAAAAGTAACACATATACAAAGGACTTCCCACATCACATGTACGCTCATACACACACACACATACATACACACAATAATAATAATAATTAAAACAGTACGTTTGAGGGAGTACATGTTAGTTACTAAAGATGCTCTACAATGCACATCTACATCTCAAAATACCATACTCTATGTTATAAATGCATATAATATTTTTACCAACTAAAAAATAAAATGTTGCCAGATGTGGAGGCTCATGCCTTTAATCCCAGCACTTGAGAGGTAGAGGCAGGCAGATATTTGTGAGTTCAAAGCTAGACTGGTCTATGGAGTGAGTTCCAGGACAGCCAGGGATACACAGAGAGAAGCCCTGTCTCAAAAAAAAAAAATTAAATTAAATGTTGAGGTCAGCAAGATGGCTTGGTGGGTCTGTACCCACTGCTAAGCCCGATGACCTAAATTCAATCCCTAAAACTTACATAGCGGAAGGAGAAAACAGACACCTACGAGTTGTCCTCTGACCCCTCTACATGTGTACACACAAGCCTCCCACAAACACATGTAGAAATAATTTTAAATTAAATATACAATATCCATTTTTTTACAAAATTAATCTTAGTATTTCTGGGTGTGGCCACCAGTCTTGTAATCCCAGCACTTGCTAGGCAAATGCAGGCGGATGATCAGGAGTTCAGGGACAGTCTGGGCTATACAGCGTGAGGTCAGCCTGAGTTACATGAAGCCATATCTCAAAATAATAACAATGCTAATATCTTTCTTTAGTGGCTTTTCGAGCAATTATCCCAGAGAAGGGGGTATTCAAATTGATTTTGAACATACACACGTTCTTCAATTATCTATTCCTTGGAGAAACTTAAAACTTAGATGAAGGCAGAGAACCTTGTATCACCTCTCCCACCCCGGGTGATAGAGGAGCTTCAGAGACAATGCCTGGGGCTGGAATTCACCTGCCTCCCTGGCCTCAGCTCAAGAGATCACTGAGATCCTGCTTAGGATGGCATGTGATGGTGCACAAGAACACCAAGTCCTGGCTCTCGGTGAACACGATAAGAAAGGAGGCTGAGAGTAAACAAGTCCAACCCCGACACAATGGGGGAGGCACACATGATGTGACAGGAAGTCAAGAAAAGAGTGAGGAGAATCTCTTAAGAAGTGATACGTGAGTGTGTCCTAGGGCAGAGGGCAGATGGAAGAACCCTGTAAACGGGAGAGAAGTGCAAGGGTTCCGAGCAGGGAGAAATGGTGTGTCTGAAGAAATGGGAGGAACTCGGCATGAAAAGAGCTTAGTGAGCACAGACCGAGGGTTGGGGGTGGGGTAGAGAGCTGGGCAGGGGCCGGAGCGTGCAGGACTGATGGACATGGCCAGGAAGAGTCCTAAGTGATAGTCTAGACCAGCGGGAAGCCACTGATGAGTTTCATCAGATGGGTGACATGAACCACCTGACAGTAGAGAGATGCAGGGACAGGACAGGGGCAGTGGCTTTGCCAAGACCTGATGGTGGTGTGAACCACAGTGCCTGGAGCAGACATGGACAGAGGCAGATTGTGCTGTGCTCTAGAAGGAGAATCCACAAAACTGCTAATGCTTTCGATGTGAAAAATGAGGAAAATGAGTGTTCTTCCCATGATGTTATTTGGTAAGGGGAATTCTGGGGCAGAAGACTGAGAGGCAACTGGAGCTGCATTTTATATTTTGGTTGGGAGCCTAGCCTTTAATAGCTGAGCCATCTCTCCAGCCCTAGAACTGAATTTTAAAATGCTTACATACTCAACAAATAGAAAAGCCAAGGAGGTGGCTGGTCACAGGAGCTGGAAGCTCAGTAGAGAGGGTAGGGCCTGAGATGTAAAGTTCCAGGCTGTCATCCCATCGATGGCATTGAAGCTGGCCAAGGAACTCAGCCAGGAGGGTGTGTCTCGGAGGGAAAAGAAGCTGGGCCAGGACTGAGCTGGGCACCCGATGTTCAGAGCTGGCCCAGCAACAAAGAAGATGTAATGAAAAGGGAAGCAAGCCAGGATCATGTGCTTTTTAAAAAAGTCTACCACTGAGATCCCGAGCCTAGAACAGCCTTGGGCACACAGCATTTGCTGAATGCATGAGGAAGGAAGAAGAGATGGAGTGTGGCCACATTGTCAGATGGAGCTCAAAGAGGCAATCAGAGGGGAGACAGAGGAGCCCATTGGCTCTAGCGGCACAGGAAGCTTCAATAGCGTTGCTGACAGGAGCCAACCCAAGAGCAGGAACAAAGCCAAGACGTTCTGGTTTGGATGGAGATCAAGATGGCCATGGAATGTCAATTTACCAACAATCCCACAGTGACTCACAAACTTCCTGCTACAGTGCCCCGTGAGTGATACACGTTCTTGGCATCCAACCTCAATTAGGTCTTTACTTAAGTGCTTCCATAGGGGTAATTCCAGCCAGGCAGGCAAGGCCACAGTGCCCAGGAGATGCAAGCAGGGCTCTGGATACCCGGGCTGGAGCTAGCCAGGTAGGCATTGGTACATTCCACCTCCATTCCAATGCACCCATTCCCTTATTGCTCCCACACCTGTTTCTACCCTTCTTGACTGACCACTGTTGGGTTGTAACAAACATCACTAAAGTTTCATCTTCTTCTGTTGTTTCAGGGGTGGGAGGATGGGGTAGTGAATGGATGAATAAATACATGCACATATGAACATAATGCTCAGACTTACCAGGTACGGTTAGGACAGATGGGGACCTTTCTGGTTTTTCATTAATGCGGCTGCTGTTTTGAAACCAGAAGATGTTGATGGGCTCAGGTGGGCCCACAGCGTGGCAGGTGAGGTTGAAGGCTGTGTTTCGGGTGACATTCAAACTCTCGGGCTGCTTAATAAAGTAAGGAAGTCCTGCAGAGAAAGATTGGAGCAGAGTATGTCTTAACTGGAAGTAGAGCCTTCGGAGACAGGGACCGGAGGCTTCCTTGGGTCTGAAATAGCCAATTGTCACCTCCAAGCAGAGTGAGAAAGAGCGCAGGGGTTCTTGACTACCAGGCTTCCTCAGCCAGCTTTCTAGGACACTTTTTCTAGGGACTGTGTGGAGTGATTCATCTGCTTTGGCCAGAGGGGAATACACAGCCAGTTTTTAAATCAGGTGTTGCTCAAGCGCCTGGCACTGGTTGGCAGGTTGGCAGTGTTTCTCATCAAAACAAACAGAGTGAGGCAGGAAAGATGGCTAGTAGCTAAGGGCACTTGCTATTCCAGAGGACCCAAGTTCACCCCAGGACCACAGCAGGCGGCTCGCTACCTGTAACTCCAGCACAAGGAGATCCAACATCCTCTTCTGGCCTCCAATATCCACTCCACACCACACACATACAGAATACACTCACATTAACACACACACACATACATAAAAAATAGAATAAATACCAGAGTGTATACAAAATAGGTCTACCCAAGTTTTGCATAACTTTCAGATGGCTGAAGATGGATTTTAAAACCTGTGCAGCTGAGACTAGGGCTCTACATGGGTCAACTGTGAGGCATGTGCTCAGCATGCATAAGGCTCTAGGTTCAATGCTCTAAGCACTAGGAGTGAGTACGCACACACACACACACACACACACGATTTCACATATTTGTGTAAAACTGAAGAGTTTACAAGAGGCACTCACCTGAAGACAAAAAGAGCACAGTTCTATAGTTATAATCCTTAAATCTACTGAAACTCCAAAATCTGGCCCACAAGGGAGCTTGGAAATGTTCAGAGAAAGCCAATGATTACTGTTTTGGATCATGTAGCCACAGTTTTAGCAGTACAAGCTGGCTGGCCTTGGCACTTAAATCACAGGCTTTATAAACTCACGTCTCACCAATCTGGTTCCCCAGGGAATAATAGGATTCTTTTTCCCCATTTCAAAGCTTTTGAGATTCAGACTTTTCCCAACTTGTGCATTTTTCCTGGGATCCTGACAAGTAAATTGTCTTCTAAAGATCATCTTTTACAAGATAATTTCAAACATATGGGATGCCTTCCTGTCGACTGATGCTCACATAGCCCAGGTACCAGTCGTCTAGCCTGGGAAAGCAAAGGCCCCTATGAGATTCATCTGAGGGGTTTCCCTTGACTCTTCCCCTCCACACTCACCCATTCCCTGACTCCCTCCTTTCTCCCTTTCTCCTCCCTCGCTCACACTTTCTGCAGCGTTACTGGGCATTAAGTTCATGTTCACAAGGGAATGGGCACCAGGACAGCCTTTCAGTAAGAGCGGAATGTAGAAGGTAGAGCAGAGGAAAAAGAGGTGATGAGCTGGTGGTGCTACTAAAGGCACCTTGGAAAGTGGAACCTCAGGGATGGAGAGCAGCACTCAGGTGGAGGATGTGCTTAGCATGTACAATGCCCTGGGCATACATATGCACACACACACACACACACACACACAGAACTGAGTCAATTACATCATTATCTGAAGTTTCTAAAAGAGGATTGTCTTGTAAAATTCCAACACTGATGGATCCTTAAGGTTTCCAGAATTATTAACAGGCAGAACACACCCTGCACATCACACAGGAAACACTGAAATGCAAGTTCTAAACAGCTCCCAGGCAGCAGGGTACTCCGGCTTTGGGCTCACCTTGAACTTCCACGTATATGGGATCAGATACAATCTCTCTGTCGTTCACCTTCATCTTACAGATATACGATCCATTGTCTGAGCGCTGCATGCTGGTTATACTTCAAAGAAAAACACAGAAAGAAATTTGCAGTGACTGTCTTTGGAGTCCCTGTCACAGAAACAGAAAATCCTTCGAGACACTTATCACGTGCTAAGACGGTTAATGTGTCAACATCGCTGGGCCATGGTGCTGCCATGAGGACATTTTTCAGATGTCATGAACATTTAACTTTTGAGTAAAACAGATTATCCATTTCAACATGCATTACAAATAATCAGCTGCAGACTGAGGGCCCCTGAGGAAGCTCAGTGTCAATTTTCCATGTGTCTCCAACCAACACTCTACTGGTTTCAGATTTGTTAGTACTTATTACAGTGTGAATTCACCGAAACACGCTCTCTCTCTCTCTCTCTCTCTCTCTCTCTCTCTCTCTCTCTCTCTCTCTCTCTCTCTCTGTTACACACACACACACACACACACTCACACACACATAGGCACTTGTGCACTCCTATATCTTCTTGTTTTCCTGTCTCTTTGAACCCTGCTGGCACACACCACACACTGTTGGGTGTCTTGCTTTCCTTGGTGGACTCTTAAACCAGGGCTTTGGTGTTTCTCTGTCAAGATTTGGAAATCTGAGGAGTTTTTGGTGTCACAATGCCTCTGGGATTTCATAGATTTCAGAGTCCTGGGCAACTGTTCTCTATCCCCAAATAACCTTCTGAAACTAGTTCCTGATTCTAGTTTGCGTGGTTTCCAGGTATCTTACACAGTTTTAATATTCACCTAATTGCCTAAAGTCACAGCTACTGTGAAAATGGAGGGCTGGTATGCTCTTGTCTGGTTTGGAACTCTCTGGTGCTTGAATCATCTTTTCTTTTAGATCTCTCTCTCTCTCTCTCTCTCTCTCTCTCTCTCTCTCTCTCTCTCTCAGATGCCTACAGGGCCAAAACAGGCCATTGGACTCCATGGAGCTGGAGTTCCAGGTGGTTGTAAGGTACCTAACACGAGTGCTGGGAGCCAAACTCAGTGCTCTACCCACTGAGCAACCTCTCCTACCCCCACCTCAGTCATCGTTCTGGAAGGCAGGCCTCTGACAGCCTCACTGCGTGTGCTTCCGGCACAAGTTCTGTGCTCAGGTTGGGGGACAAGGGACACATGACTGGCTCTTTTTGCCCTTCTCCTGGGAAGGTCAGGCCAGCACTGGCACATAGAAATTTGTCTTGTTATCAGTCACCTTGGCTTTGCTTTGCTTTGACCCATCGAGCACAATGCTGCGTGCCTGTGATCCCAGCACTTCAAGACCGTCTTACAAAACTAAATAAGCATCTTCAGCTACTGCCGCCTTCTTTTTACTTTTGCAATGTGTTTACAAACATACATACAAGTTGCATTGGGAGCAGGCAAAATGGCTCAGGGGGTAAAAGCGCTTGCTGTCCAGCCTGAGGACCGGAGTTCAATTCCCAGGACCCATATTTTGGAATGAGAGAACTGAGTCCTGCAAAGTGTCTTTGGAGCAGCTGGCAAAATAATACCGAACTTGCACATTCAAGGACTGAAGCTAAAGGCTTCACAAAGACCAGGAAGCTGAGAGAGAAGGAGGGGCTCCATGCAGGCCTAAGCCCAAATAACAGTTCAGGCACTTGGACTGTAGAACCCAGACTGTGTAAAATGTCCTGGAATTCCCTGACTCAACAGGTCAGGAAAATCTAGCCTACAAATAAAAAAGACACTCAAAACACAAGCCATGACCCCAGCCTCACCTCCAGGCACTCACGGCAGGAAGGAGTTAGCAATCTGTTCCTGGACAGTGTCTAGACCATTCACCGTTACTGGAAGGTCTAACTTAGACACTTATATTAAGGCTCCCTGGGAAAGGCAGGTTGAGGGGGGGTAGGCCCAGGGAGAGGAGTGGCTGTTCCCAATACTCTCCCCTCCCAGCTGAATCAGGAAGCTGGGGATCTGTGCAAGCAATACCAGAAAGACTGAACTGAAAATAACAAACCCAGGGGACTGGACAACTCAAGGGAGTTGAAGAAGGAACATGCAAAGAGGGAGAGGGGAAGTTTAATGGGCTCAGAGCTCTACTGCAGGCCTGTCATAACCAGGTCCCTGAACGGGCAGCCCAGATGGAGAGAAGAGCCACACCAAGGGGCTTCTACCAGAAATGCTCTATCTAAGTCAGAGTCAAGATCATAAAGGTTCCAGAGGGAAGGGTAAGATCACCTATGGTGACCTGGGTCCCCACCATACCAAGCAAGAGCAACTAGGAAATGTGTTCAAAGACTTCAAAACTAAAAGAAATTATTTTTCTTGTTTGATTCTGTATCTAAATAAAGCATCCCATGGTCAGGGTGGTGGGAAAAGGTCTTTTCAGGCATGTGAGTCTCAGAGGTTACTAGAGGAAGGACTGCATGGCAAAGTGAGGGAGGAAAACCCACATGAATGCAGGAAGAAGAGGGGTCCTCAGGATGTCAGTGAAAGTGGGAGGTGATGCAGAAGGACCCAGATCTGGAGGACAACCTCTCCAGATTGAGGTTGAGGGGGAACCAGGACAGGAATCTTAAGAGGTGGGGGCACAGTCCTAGTTTCATGGCCATGAGAGGAGGGAAGACAGGGCTTTCTTCCAGAATTGAAGGAGGAATGGATAGTTGGAAAATTGAAAACTAAGCAAGCTAGCAAGAAAAAAATTATGGGAATTTACAAAGTAGAATACACTTGTAGCACAGTACATAATTCAGCTAGCTAGAAACACAACTTCCATACCCACAAAAACAAACAAACAAACAAAATTCTATGAACCTTGGGCATTGATTTTTGCCACTGCCATAAATAAACAATTCATTGGCCCACCATCGTGGGGATGGGCACACAGGTAAACATGCATGGGATTGCATGTGGACTGAAGAGGTCAGCAAGATGCCTAAGCATTCATCCCCCATGATGAGGGTCTGAGGGCAGGGACTGAGGGAGAATGTCTTACACAGTTGGAACACGTTGCTTCAAATTTTTTCTTCCAATTTTATGTATTTTATGTCTATGTGTGGCATGCATGTATGTGTGTATTTGTGTGTGTGTGCCATAGTGCACAAGTACAAGTCAGAGGGAAGCTTTGGGGAATTGGTTCTTTTCCTCAACTATGTGGGTTCCTGGGATCAAGTTCAGGTCATCAGACTTGGTGGCAAGTACCCTTACCCACCGAGCCATCTCTACCCTACTTTTTTTCCTGTAGTAAATTTAATGAGGCCATATGGAACATCATCTACATTTAAGGCTTGGCCAGATGATCAGTTAGCTACAAAATAATTCACACACGCTAATGAATATATGTAAAATTATGTACAATTTACTATATTATAAATGCAGCAGCTTTATTAGTCATTACTTTTTCTCAGTTATGGCTTAGTGTAGTTGCTATTTAGGTCTTTGTAGCACATGTTTTGTTAATCTTATTCCTCAATGTGTTTGTGGGTGTTAATATATTTTAATTTTTTTTAAAAATTATAACTGTTCATGACTACTTTTTAAAAATATGGTATGGAGGTGGTGAGATGTAGCCCTGTTATAGAACACGAGCGCAGCAGAACCCCAGACCTTGGGTTCTAGCTCTGGCACCGTCTCCCACCCAAGGTATGAAAATCCCATCAACCTTTGAAATAGAAACATCTGGACCAAGGAGGCAGAATGAAATGATACAGACTGAGCCATAGTGTCTAGACAGGAACCACCTGGCCACAGCTGCAGGCCTGGCACTGGGGAAGCCCAGACCCCAGAGCAGCGGTGGCTGGGCTGGCCCCAGGATAAAGCATACAGCATCTCTATCCCTCAGCGTGCCAATGCTGGGCTGCATACAGGGAAATGTCTCACGAGTAGCAATTAAACTCTCAAGGTGTCTTCAAAGACACACAAAGTAGCAAAGGTACTATATGCTATGGAACAACCTTTTTGTACACTATGAATATGTATTACTCTCGTTGGTTAAAAAGAGGCTGATTGACCAATAACTGGCCAGGAAGAAATTGAGCTCAAAAGCCAGATTAGGAGACTTCTGGGAAGAGGAAGGGCGGAGTCACATAGAGCGCTGTAACTGCAGGGTTGTGCCCTCTTCAAGAGATGTCTGACCTGTATGACCCTTCTGTTTCTTTAGGCCAGTAAACACCCCACTATGTGCTTATTAAATGTAAAATCCTTTTCTCTTTGTAAGCTTTGTTTATGTAAGACATCTGCTTTCTATAATAGATGGAGAAAAAAAATACAGTCAACTATCCTGTGTGGCCACGGTCTAGAAGAACATGATACACCTTGCCAGAATAAAATGAAGCGAGATAATCATGGAAGTCTGTCCTTTGCCCTGAAGCGAAGCGCACCTGGTGGAAATGTTGACAAATTAAATGATCAGGCCTGTGGGAAGTATGAGATGGCTTGCTGGAAAGGAAACAAAAATGATTCACCTAAAGGCATGACACACATGGGATTGTGCCAAGTGTCAGGGCAGAGAAAGTGAAAACATCCCGGATCAAAGAGAACGCCACTCCAGAGTGCAGGGCTCAGGGGACAAGGTGACTCTGACTCCGAGTGGCTGGCATCTCATCTTGAACTTTTGGGAACAACAGGCTAAGTCAGTTAGTCAATTGACAAAGCCCCTCAGGTTAAAAGAAGGTGATCGGAATGTAGAATTCTGATTAGAAGTTAAGAAGTGGGGGAAAGTAGAAAAAAGAGAGGCAGGAACCAAAGTTTGATGAAAGGAATGCATACCCAGATGTATTCCCGTGGAGCACCGAGCTCTGCAGCACAGTGGGATGGCTGCCATTTGCAACAACCTGTCTTTATCTTAGGAAGATCTAGAAGAGACGAACTCTAGACAATGAGGAGGAGGAAATGCTAATGCCCCTGATTCCATCAGTGCATAGTGTACATACCACATACCACAAGCACCTCAGTAATATGCATGATTAATACATGTTAATAAAAACAAAAAGTGACTGAGAGTCTGTTTCACTCCCTAGAACTTTCCTTCTGCCTCTCTGGGTGCAAGCTGCGCTGGAACCACAACTGGCAGCAGCAGAAAGAAGGCAGGAGATCAGGAGACGGGTCAGAGGGCAGGAGACACTGAGTGAACCAAAGGGCTGGGACAGCCACACTGTTTTAAAGTTCCCATAACCAAGAAGATAACACTGATATCGTCGTGTGTGTGGTGTGTGTGTGTGTGTGTGTGTGTGTGTGTCTGTGAGCACATGTGCGTGTGCATGTGCTGCTGGTAGGCTAAGCTGGTTTGGTCAGTCAGAGCAAAGCGGCCACCTGCCTCTTCCTCTCCAGAACTGGAACACATCGTCTCCCACTGAGGACTCACTCATCCTCATGCTTGCAAGGCAAGCGCTTTACCCACTGAGCCTTCTCTCCAACCGCTGATTATCATTTCATAATCCTTTAAGAAACTGTTTTCCTTGGTCTGGAAAGATGGCTTAGCAGTTAAGAGAACATCTAGTGTTCGGTTCTATGATCCACATGGTGTTTCACAATTGTCAATAACTCTGGTTCCAGAGACTCTAACACCCTCTTCTAGCCTGTGAGGGCACCAGGCATATGCATAATGCACATCCATACACACAGGCAAATATACATTCACACACACACACACACACACACACAAATTAATAAATAATTCTAAAAACAAACAAAAAACACTAACCACTTTCTCAATCCAGCCCTGTAATCTTAGCATGTGGGTGGATCTGGAATTTAAGACCAGTCTTAGCTACAAAGTAAGTCTGAGGTCAGCCTGGACTGACCTCGTATATGAGAGCCTGTCTCCAAAAGAGACCCACATTCTTTCGGGTTGGGGTATAGCTGAGATGTAGAATGTATGCTTAGCATGCTCGAGGCTCGGGGTTCCATCCCCAGAACTGAAAATGAACACACACACACACACACACACACACCTCCTCCATACACACTGTTTCCCACTTCCTGGAAGCTCTTGGGGCTTAGGTGGACTTAATACTGACCTTAAATGAGTTGGGAGCTGCCCTCTAAGCCCTCAGAGTATATATTAGCCTGCAGTTTCCGTGGGACAAGCTCATTTAAAAGAAATCAACAACACAAGCGGTCAGATCAGTATTTATTTACATTCTAAAGAGATCGAGATTTCTTAAAAAGAAAACAAGGCTGAGTTTTCCTTGCGGGTTCTGCTATTGGGGTGGCATTAGCACAATGACATTTAGAAAGAAAGGACACATACCTGAACAATGCAATTATTGACACCCCTTCCTCATCAGGATAAAACTGTGTGATTGAATGATGTGCTCCGAGCAATTCCTTTCCATCTTTCCACCACGAAATGCCAGCTGTTTCTTGGTACGTGTTAGGAATATTGATCGAACAATTAAATTTGACATTTTTATGCTCCGAAAGTATTATGTGTCCAACCGTGGGATTAAATGCAACAGGAGGTAGGAGCTTTGATGATGAAGACGTCACCTGGGGAGCGGCTATGTGTGCTGGAAGTGATCTTCCAGTCTGGGACCGTGACTGCTGGTACTCACTGGGGTGGTTAGCTGGCAGGTTCCCCGGTAAAGGTCCTGGGAAGAGCTGATCTGGCTTGGTTTCTTCTGCCTTTTCAGTAGTGGCTGAAAAACGGAATTTTAGAGTTTTAGCCTTTAAAATAATGAAGAAGAATTTCAACTTCTCGGGTCATGATAAGTTAAGTGGAGCATCCTCAGTGGCCTCAGAAAAGATGAACAAGAGAGCCGGGCAATGGTGGCGCACGCCTTTAATCCCAGCACTCGGGAGGCAGAGGTAGGCGGATCTCTGTGAGTTCGAGACCAGCCTGGTCTACAAGAGCTAGTTCCAGGACAGGCTCCAAAAGCCACAGAGAAACCCTGTCTCGAAAAAAA